TATATCATTGTATTGTGACATTCTACTTTATTATCAGCACGTACCCATCGTGTTGAAACAAAAGATGAGAAAAATGGACTTGACATGTTATACTTTTATTTTTATTAAAAAAATTTTTTTAATGTTTATTTGAGAGAGAGAGAGAGAGAGAGAAACAAGAGTGTGAGCAGGGGAGGGGCAGAGAGAGAGGGAGACACAGAATCCAAAGCAGGCTCCAGGCTCCGAGCTGTCAGCACAGAGCCGGATGTTGGGTTTGAACCCACGAACTGTGAGATCATGACCTGAGCTGAAGTCAGACACTTAACCTACTGAACCACCCAGGGGCCCCTATTATTATTATTATTTTTTTAATCTTAATTTTTTATTTTAGAGAGAGTGAGAGCATACCAAATGGGGAAGAGGGGCAGAGGGAGAAAGAGGGAGAATCCTAAGCTCAGCGATGTGAGGCTTGATCCCACAACCCGTGGAGTCTCGTGAGATCATGACCTGAGCCGAAATTAAGAGTCAGACGCTCAACTGGCTAAGCCACCCAGCTGCTCCAACATGTTATACTTCTAAAGTACACTAAAGTATACATTATCAAATTAGATGACAAAGCATTGATTATTATGCGGTGAGACTATAGCTGTGCTAAGGAAATACAGTATATGCTGACATTACCAGACTAATCAGTCATCACAATATTCCCAACTCACAGGAAAACAATGGCCAGACAAATTAGAAAATTGAAAAAGGAATATCTTAGCCACAGCAGAATTTCTTCACAGAATTATTAAAAATGAAAATCAGACTGTGCCCAGATTAAGTTTCCGAGTATTTCATTTGTTAGTCAAGTAAGGAAGTCATTTACTACTGATGGTGCCTTAACTAAATCGCCTTTGATTGTAGTAGCCAAAGAAATGTGTCTGGAGAGAATAAACTTGTTTAAAGCTATTAGCCTTTTGGCAAGAACAGTTGCTGCAAGGGTTGAGAACATTAGTAATCAATTAAAAAACAAAGCGAATGATTTTGAGTGGTTTTCCCTGGCTTTTGCGGATTGGCAGAGGTTACCAATACAGCTCAGTTATTGTTATTCAAGAAGTCAAGTCAAAGCTTGAAGTTTTTGAAGAATTAGTTTTAATGATAGTGCTCACGGAATAACTGCTGACAAAAATATTTACAAAAAGTTCAGAAAACACTAATTTTGTATGACCCGAGAGGTGGGATCTGTTAAGATGCATTACAATTGATGGAAGTAAAAATATGTCTCTAACAGAAAACGGCTTAGGTGAGCAAATTTACGAAACTGTGGAAATGTAAAGTGGCTAAAATATAGGGTTATTTATTGTATTTATCAGCAGGTATTTTGCAGAGAACATTTGAGTGTAGCATGAAATACAGAACTGGTCGTGTTGCTCCTGTGGACTTAGTCATTGTTAGCTGCGTGAATTTTGATCAGAAGTAGAAGCCGAAAACCCTGACTTGCCCCACCACATTGCAGTTCAGTGGCCTAGTAGTAACAGTAAAATTCTATTCCAGTCTTTTGAGGTCTGGGCTGATTTGAGATCTTTCCGAATGAGAAGAACTGCTCTCAACCACTGTGCTTGAACACCGAATGGCTTTGGAAGTCAGTTTTTGCTGCACTTGGTCATGTTTCTTAAAGTATTCAACCTAAAATTATAAGCCAAACCGTGCTTATATGCAAAATGAAAAGTGATTTCGATGCCAGCTAGTGTTGTTTGAATCACAAATAACATTAAGCTGTTTTAGATAGCTTTGCAGGCCGTCAGAAGTTAAGGTAAAGAAAACAAAGTCGCCGTTCCCACTCAGGGTTGCAGTAGACGTATTTTCTGAGCTCGGTCTCAGACTTTGATGTGAGTGCAAAGGAAACGACCCTATTACAAAATCCGTTTCGCTGTGTGGTTGAGGCATTTGCACCCACCTTACCCTCCGATTGGAGGTGATTGATCTGCAGTGGAAGGACATACTGAAAGATGAAAGACAAATATTAAGAGAAGAATTAAGTCTGTAGGTATCTTCCAAACAATGAATATGCTGAATTGAAATCGTGTGTATGTGACGGCCTGGCACCTTTCAGGGTAAAAAGACACTTTCAAACGTGAAATACATACATTCTTATTTAGAAAGTAGCATTACCATATGAACGTTTGCAGTTGATTTTGATTATAGGGAACGCTAATTTTTAATCTCAACTAAGTGAAATATTATCCCCCCAAAAGAACTTCATTCTTACTAGGAGACTGGTTTTATAACAAGTTGCACTCAACGGTTATTACTATAACCTACAATGTTTACTGTCTGATTCTTTATACAAAAAGTTTGCTGACCCCTGCTTTACATCAAGATATTGGTTTTTATTTTGAGAGAGAGAGAGAGAGCATTCGGGAGTAGGGAGAACAGAAGTAGAGAGAATCATGGGGCTCTATCTCATGACCATGAGATCATGACCTGAGCTGAAATCAAGAGTTGGATGCTTAACTGATTGAGCCACCCAGGCGGCCCCTACATGAAGATATTTTTATCCTGCATAGTTGTGTGACAGCACATATTAGCAGAATTAATGCTTTTAAAAGAAAATAATATATGGAACAGCTTTTTTTTTTTTTTTCCTTACCGGACTTACTAATTACAGCTCATTCAGTATGAGATCTTGTTGCTTTGTGTTAATGTTCTAGTTTGAAGAAGAGGCTTTGCCCGGTTGCCCTGTGTTCTGTGGCTAGATCTGTTAAATGCTGAAGTTTCTGACTGTGCAAAGCTAGTGTACCTTTTGTTGTGGTGTAATTCTAAAGTAACACAGATGCTGCCTTCAAGGAACTTATGCTGGGGGAAGGGACTAATAATCAAAACACATAAAGGAAACAGCTTTATTTCTAAGAATGTACTGGAGTCCGTTGAAATGCCTAGAACTAGATGTGCTTAATTTTGAGGAGGGGTTTTTGAGCTCCTTAAGAATAGATAAGACGTAGAGAGAAAGCCAAGCTCACACCAGAATGTAATTGCCTCAGAAAGGCGTGGAGAAATACTTTGATGTTCTCTACCAAGTGGATCTTTTGGTTTACTGTTTTGGGAAATAAGCTGGGCAATTTGGACTTCTCCAGGATGCCGTTCGTCTATATCTCTGAACTCCCCCCAATTTGTAGTCTTTAGTGGCAAGTGACTTGGCATTTAGAGCCCTTGGATGATTCTGGGAGACTTTTGGGAAGCCAGGAAGAAAAGCTAGAATTACCGGGCCCGAGAGCTTTGGTAGAAACCAGAAGGTCAGACGATGTTCTTCCTAGCATCTGTAGAAGGGGAAAGAAAAATGATAGTTATTTGCACAGACAGGAAGCTATAGAGAATGATGAGATCATAGAAGATTACAATTTGAGGAGCAAAAGGGGCTCAGGTAGTTTCATTCACAGGTTTTTGCTTAGATTTCAGTTGTATGGGACAATTAAATACATATAAACGATGCATGGACCACACTGCAAGCTGTTCCTTTAAAATGTCTTCCTTAAGTGTGACTTTTTGGGGGAGAGCATGGCAGTGAGGTCTTCATCGTCGTCTCCTGATATGCACCGACAGAATTTTTGACCCCGACTGCTCCCTACCCTGGCGTGGGTGTAGGAGGTTGGGGTAGTTTGAGCAGCTTCCGCGTTACCCCGCTTGGAGGCGAACCGCGGCCGCCCTCCCCTCGGGACCTTACGGGAATCCGCCACACACGCCACCATTCTGCCCCGATCAAGGATCAAGGCCCAAAGGGAGCAGCCACCCTCCGCGACAGGGCGGCAGCTTCCGGGGGGGGG